CAACACTAAAATGTTAAAGATCATGTTTCTTCTCTTCTGTGTTTTATTTGAATGTGTTGATTCCATCAGAAGATAAAAACCATCTCAGTGTAGTTTTACATCTCCTCTCTCTGGAGCTCTAGTAACAACAGGTCGTGAGCCAATCAGAAGAGAGGAGGCTCTGAGCCTCTCTTCTGATTGCTGCACTGTTTTCTGAAGATCCATATAAAATATACAGATTTCAGGTAAAAACATTCAGAGAAACCAAATCCTGCAAGGTTTGGATGGTGGGTCCAGGTGGGCGGGGCTTGGTGACTGCTTTGTTGTGACATCACAAAGTTCCAGAAGTCGCTGACGGCTGGTTTTAAGGCTCAGTTTTCTGAATACAAATCTGTGTTTTGTACACACATGAAATTCAGTTTATAATTGAGGTTGGATTCCATTGTTTTTTTCAGTTTGTGTGAAGCTTTATTACTTCTGAGTTTTTACTTTAAATGTTGATAGTTCCTGTTTCTACAGCCAACAACTTATTAATTTTACCAGAGAAGTTTTTAACAGTACTGAGAGTCATTGAATCTTTTTTATTGTGTGTTTTTTCTGAGCGGATGTTTCTCAGCAGCGAGGTATTAAAAATCTTTCATCATTACAGAATCATGTGGGATAACTGGCGACTGGCGTGCCTCACTCCCTGCTACCGGTCTGCGTCTCGTTACAGTAAAGAGTTCTGCAGAGATTCATGCCATCATTTTACCTCAAAGTATCAGTTTATCTTTACAGTCTGCCTCTGACTCCAGCAAAACCTCCTCTGCTGTCACAGGAAACACTGACGTGGGGGAGAAGAAAGTAGAGCTGGATCAAGCGTCATCAACTCAGTTTGATTCATAAAACACAAACCAGATGAGATCAGATCTTTTACCTTAAAAAAGATCGTTTAAAGTGAATCTGTCAACACTTTGAAAAGTCGCCGTATTACATCACTGCTCTGCTCTGATATTAGTCTTGTAAAAAAACGTTATTTCCATTTTTTGACTTCCTTGTTTGTTTCTTTCACATAAAAAAGCGACAGATAAGGCCAGGGATGTAAAGTAGGAGGAGGATACAGTATCATGCAACATGTTCTGTTAAACAAGACCAGGTTGAAACCTGATATCTGACTGGACCAAGTGTGATATTTACATTCAGTCTAGTATCAGCTGGTTCAGTCTAGTATCAGCTGGTTTCAGCTTGTTTCTGTCCTTCTCTACAGTATTTTAATGCAGCTGAATTCACAAAAAACCTGTTTCTCGTTGACATGTTTTTTCTCTTTCTGTTGTCATGACAACAGAACAAGTTTGAAACAGTGACTGACACATGGTCATTAAAAACGACATGTTAACAACCAGCAGCCACTGCCAAAGTCTGAGACACTTTGGAAAGTGGTCTCAGACTTTTTGGATCCACAAAAAACATCTTTTACTACTGTTGACTTCACAATACAGTATATATCACAGACCAAGTATACAATAGTTAAACAATAACTTTACACAGTGTAAATCCTGTGTGTGAGTTTTATAAACTTCTGTTTCACGTCTGATATCTGTAAGTTATTGTGATGAATAGTTACAGGACTGAGAAACAAACTGTAATAATTTAAAGTGTTGTGCACAGCAAAGGTGGAGGGGTGGAGTGTTACCCCTCTT